GAATGCGAAAAATGGAATTCCCAAAACCCCAAAACCCCGTTAGCAAAAAATAGGTTTTCTGGTTTGTTAGCAAATTTCATAGGATTATTATATATTTATAATTATCTAAAATGAATAGAAAGGAAGAATACAGAATGAAATTTCGTAATTGCGAGTAAAACTTCAAGGAGAAATTGTTTCTGACATCATTTGATTTGATGAGCTTGAACATAAGTTCAAGATTGTTGTATTAATTGTACATGGTATTAGATTTCTTGCTTTTAGCAGCTTATCCTCTTGAGCAAATTTATATTAAATCGAAGTCAGCTAAATAAACTTGATCTAATTCAGCTAAAAGTACTATGACAACAATAATAGAGTATTTGAATCCAGCAGAACTAAGCTGGAATGCTTCAGACTATGGTATAAACAAAACAGTTGTTCTGTTTAGAGTCATGTATACCTTCTTAGTTTTTGGCAGCATTCTTATATAAATACTATCCAGAAATAAAAAAAAGCTTCATATATCGAGTTAAACAAAACTATTTAATAAAATCCTGGGCTTGGCTATTACTGTTGAAACATTTATCATGTTCATACCGGCTCATACTTATTTTTCTAAGATATACTCTTGTGATCCAGCTGAGGAATCATGCTTCGAAGGCTTGCATTTAGCTTTAATAAGTTTCTCAATAATTTCCTAATTCTTATTAGTCATTGTAAGTTTTTACAGTTTATCAATGATGACAAGTTGCTATCCGAACGAGAATGCTCCTCATGCCCATTTCCCTTCAAGAATCCCTCATGCAAAATAGCTCTTTAAAGTTTTTGTGGTACTTGCCTACTAGATAGATTATTAGAGGAATGTTAATCTTTACCTAAATGCCTTATTTGTAGTTATTACAGTTGGATTTCTCTATCGAAGGCTATTAATGGGTATGACTTTCGACCGTTCAATTCACAGACTGCTGTTTATCTCGGAAGCATTACTCTTTGTGCTTTTTTTATTGGCATTTGTTTGTGATCTAATTTCCACAAATATTGATAATATCTTTACTCTTATATTTCTAGCTACATTAGCAGGCACATGCTTTCTAATAATCTAAGTGGCTGATAGGGTTAGAGAGAGTTTTCTGAGGAAAATAGATATCTTTAATTATAGATTCGAGTTTGATGCTTTACACATGATGATAGCTCTGCACGAGCTGATAGAAATGAGTGCTTTTGATGAAAGAGAAGATTTCATACTTAGGGGATTCGTTGAGAGACACATTGAAATTTGTGATTTCCCAGAGTGTAACTGTATGGAGTACTATAAAATTATAAATAGTCACTATAGAATTTAGCTAGCGACTATTGCCACTATGAAAGAGGATGAGAATAACAAAGGATCTATATCTACAGCACATAACAGAGCTACTTATGACGATGAAACTACTCAGGATGATAGCTCAATGTAAAAGACATTCTTCGTTCAGAATAAAAATCTTATTAAGTAGAATAAAGCCAGAACTAAATTCCTGAATAATTTTCTCATTAACAACATAAAGGTGTTTCTAGAATTATTTCCAAATTCAGTTAAACTTAGATACATGTCAGCATTTATATACTTCAATCTGTTTAAAAACAGTTTCAAAGCTCTCTATGAGCTAAGTTATACTTAAACACTAAAGAGTAGTTTTGGAGATACATATGATAGTTATACTCTTGGACTTAAGATTATTACTTATTTCACCTAAAGAGTAAATTCATTCTTATCAAAAGAATCCAAAATCCTGGATTTAGAAATAGATCTAAAACAAATTATAGAGTTTGAAAAATTGAATATCAAGTACTAAAAGAGCATAGAGTAAACTAGTGAAATAGCAGAGGCGTTTTGGCTTGAGCTAAATAAGAAGAATATTCATATTGATAATATCTTTAAGCTTGGTTCAGATATCAACAGCTAGTTTTATATGATTAAGAAAAAGTATAAAAAGTTAATGTCCATTAACTCAAACTACCTAGAGGTAGCATATTTATACAAACTATTTGTATCGCTCTGCCTTAACTATGAACTAGAGGAGACTGAAGCTAAAATGGAAATAACTAAGATACTTTAAGCCAAGGGTATGAAAAAGAAAAATCTCAGATAAGAGTATGCTCGCATAAACTTTAGTGATGAGAATGGAATGATCATCATAAGTGGATGCTAAAGAGATTTTAGTAAGATTCTAGCTATGAATAATAAGGCTGAGAGGATATTTGGTTATAATACGGATGAGTTGATAAATCATTCATTGACAAAACTTCAACCTCTGGTCTATGGATATTCACACGAAGATTTCATTTTGAACTATGTTAATAGCAAAAGGAAAATAAACAAAGATAGTCATAATTTTGTATGGGGAAAGCATAAATCTGGCTTTATTATGCCTCTTGTCATGGATATTAGTCCTTATGTTACATTTGAATATAATTTGTGCTTCATTGCATTTTGCAAACGTTCAATTCTACTTGAAATGTATCCTTTAAAAGAAATATTAGATGCTTAGGATGTATTTGTATTACTGGCTGACTAGAAAGGAGTGATCACAGATATGACAAGGAATATTACTGAATGGCTTGGTTTCCCTTAATAAGCTTTGAATAAGGATATTAGTTTAGAGTAGATATTTGATGGTATTCTTGAAGATGAATGTGAAAAAGAATTTACTGATGGGAAAAAAATTGATTTTTTTATGAATTCCTTCAAAGATGCATTAGATGACTTTGAAAATAGAAGTGAAGATGAATTTGAATCCACTCTCTGCATGAAGGAGAAAAAATGCAAGGCTCTTGTTTGGATGAAGATGCATGAGCATTAATTAGTACCTCATAGTACTATCTTGCCGATTACTCCTGGAGTAGTTACTGGATCAGGTATAATTGGAACTATGGGAGGCTCTCCACAAGCAGCTACCTTACCGAGTAATACTCTAGTAGTAAGAGAAATATGGTTTGTTCTATTAGAGGAAGATGCTAATACTGCCACTGCAACTGCATCATTTCTTGATACTAAACTTACTCATGAATCTGGACTTGAAAAAGAAGAGCTAAAGTTTACTTATCAAGAGGATCGTGAGGAAATTTGTTCATTAGCCTCTGTTTCATCTTTAGCTGGATATGGCAGTTCAGACAAAGGGCTGATCAATAAACTAAGTGAAATAAAAACTTCAACAGTTGAAGAGTCTAAGCCAAGATCAATATCTCTGTTATAAAAAACTCTAGTAATTGTGGCTTTAATGTCTTTAGTTAGTGCTGTAATAATGCTTGCTTTGGCATTAATCAAAGATAAAAATTTCTTCCATTAATTGAAAGAGATCAATATGACTAAGATAAGTTCAATTAATTATGTCAATATCCAAATCATTGTAAGAGAGCTGGTTAACATTGCAAATGGTAGTTAAGAGGACAAAATTTCTTTTATAGATGGGAAATTATCAACTTTTCTATAAGCAATGCTTTTATAAGAAACCGAAAACTATAGGTAACACCAAATTGAGCTAGATCATTATGACACTGATTTCATGAAAGCCTAATATGAAGATTATAAACTGGATCCTGTTCTTCTACATTATATCAGATAAGACGGTTATTACTATTCAATGAATAAATCATACGCATTGGCTTTTTATGAATTAATAACTTAGTCGTAAGATGTTGGATCTTATACAGATATAAAAAATCTAAGTTTAATTCGAGCTCTATTAAATGATAAGTCTCCAAATGATGCAAATAAATTCTCGAAAACTTCTTCATTAAATGAGATTTAAAGAGAGATTTACTTTTTGCTCTATAACTTAAATTTGCCATTGCTAAACTTTTATTAGTTGAAGTTATCTGAAAATTACATGCAAACAGCAGTGGATAGTGTCTTTTAAAACTAGACCTTATTTCTTTCAATCACAGTTATAACTATAGCTATGACTTTAATGACGGCAATCTTGATTATTCCAATAATTTTAAGGATTGAATCAAACAAGGAAAAAGTATTCTTCATATATGCTGAACTGTCAAAGAATGATGTTGATGATCGAAAGCGTAACATTAGAATATTTTTTGCAAAATTAAGGCAATCTACGAATAACCCTGGAGGTTCGCTCTTTTACTAGAAATCTTCAAGAATTGTTTCATCCAGACTCTTGACTAAAAAATTCTCAATGAAAGACGAGAGTAATTAATTAGGCACACTTGGATTGACAAGATAAGCTCCTATGAAAGATGGGGTTAATAATTCTAATAATGAAAAAAATCACGGAGACATGGAAGAAGATTTGAGAGCTGAGATGATGAAACAGTAAGAGGAGTTGGAGGCTGCTGTGTTTAAAAAGATCTTTCACAAGAAAATAAAGCAGATGAGTCTCATCAAGAAGATCAAGTATATACTCATGATTCTTCTACTTGCTGGAGTTGTTTAGGGGTACTTCTTGCTTAATTACTTTTTAATCTAAAATGTTGACAACACGATTGATGAAAGTATTGGCTTTTATAAGATTGTTTCAGCTAGAGACCCATTGTTTAGCGAGTTAATTGCTTATTATAGAGAAAGTTTGGCAAGAAATACAAGTATGTATATGTTTCCGGGAGATTTAGAATAAAATGATAATAGAACTTAGGTCAACTTTGTTGATTATTTCCAGGCACAAGTCCAAATTAATGAGATGAAATTTAATAATTTGAGAAGAAGGATTCCAAATGTATTGACTGAAACTTATAATTTTCTTAGCTAGATTGAAGGTGAAGGACTTTGCAATATTGAGGTAAAAGACTTTAGTAATTATATTTGCAAAAATGCACTAGATGGTATACTAAAAACAGGAGTCACTTCAACTATAACTTCAATGGTCAAAGAAATAATTTAGTCTCAGATCAACTTTAGAAATGACCGATTAAGTGAAAAAGGATTGAGAGATCTCATTAACAATGAAAAGATTAGATCGATAATATATCTAAAGCTAATTTACCTTGATAACGCATTAGAAATGCTCATTGAAAATACCACGAGCTCGATATAAACTTACTTTAGAGAGATCGAGCGAAATCTCATCATAATCTTTGTTTGCTTTGTGATTCTTATGATTGTTGGAGTAGGCATATCCACCACTTGGGGAATGAACTTCCTCTATAGGCACTTTAATGCGACTAAAAGCATTTTAAACTTGATTCCAGGTAAATGCCTTATTGAGTTGAGTGAGAAAACTGATCTTAAAAAGATTTAGTTTTGACCTAAGCTTAGTAACTATTTTATAGCTGTATATTTAAAATTTTGTTAGAAACTACTTAACAAAATAGTCATCTTATTTATTCAATGTGGGGTTTTGGGGTTTTGGGGTTTTGGGG